ATTTATCACTGCTGTCTATGGGAATTTATTTGTAGTGATGCACCCGTAAGGGGCCGACCATTTGCATGGCAGAATAATGGACCAGAAATAGCTGGCCGTAAGCCTATAAAGTGCATCACTGCCTGCACTGGGCATAGGCCACCAAGCCGCGCAGGGATTTGAAGGGTCACTGACCGCCCCTGTTGATCGGTCTTTGAAAAGCGAATGCGCACCAAGAGCGAGGGGCCAGTAGCCCATTTGATGTCTGTGATAGCCAAAACTCGATCTGTCGCCCCCCCCCCTCTTCCTGCCACGGTGAACTCCCCAACCCTCATGAAGCCAAAGTACGCGAGAATGAAAGCAGCTTTGAACATGACCGACTCAAATGCCGTTGAACATACTTCATGCAAAGTGGGCACAATTTGTTTTAGCACGTCCCATGTAATGGGGCGCCTAGTGTCCGGCGCTCCCTTGTTTCTTCTGTGCCCTTCTAACATTCTTTTAATTACAAAATGCTGCGTGGGGTCGTCCCAGTTATGACTTTTGTGCAGCAAGGCTAATGCTGATACATGCAACCCTATGGAGGATGCCGCCATGCCTTTTAAGGACAGGGCCGCAATGAATGCTATTGCGTGTTGGATTGGGGCTGGCCAAACCGGGTCTAGGTTTGATTGAAGGCGAAACTCCTGAAATGTGAGTACTGCACGCTGGTATGCCTCTGTGGTGCCTGGTGCCAGTGACCTTGACATCAGCCTGTGGGTTTCAAGCGCTAGATCTCCCATAGCCATTCCGGCAAATGAGATGGCTCGTTTTCGGCGTGCGGGGCAGCGAGTTTGAACCTGTGCAGCTGCGAGCGAGAGAGGGAATCGGCGATGACATTGTGTTTGGTCCATACATGCACCGCTTTAAACGAAATGTTAAACCGTAAGCATGTGAGCATCAGGTGCCTGACAAGAGACATAATTTTTGGGCATTGAGACGTTTGCTTATTGACTATGTGCTTAACGGACATATTATCAGTATTGAAGATGACTTGCTTTCCTGCTAGGTCTTGCCCCCAAATTTCCATTGCTGCTACTATTGGAAACATTTCCTTCCAAGCTATAGAATATGCCCCGTTTGCTACTTTTTCGGGCCATCGACCATAGAACCATTTTCCCTGCACAAAAGCACCATAGCCAACGCCCCCACTTGCATCCGTGAGCAACTGAATTGCCTGATGAGAAGACCCACCCTGGGCTGGAATGATGGCTGTCCCGTTAAATGATTCTAAGAATTTTAGCCACATCTGCAGGTCGGCCTTGGCGCCCTCTGACAAACTTATATGCTTGACGGTTTTTGACTGTCCTTTGATCATGTCTATTAGTCTCCGTAAGAATGCCCTGCCCGGTTTTACTGCCTTGCAGATAAAGCTCAAAGACCCGATTATTGATTGAACTTCCCAAATGGCTAGGGTGTTCTTGTTGCCCGCTCGTCTGATTTTCTGTCTGATATCTTGCAGTTTGTCAAGTGGAACTCGAACTTGCATGCGAGTTGTGTCTATTTCCAACCCCAAGTACGACAATTTTGGTTGCTGGCCCCTCTGACTTCTCAGGGGCAAGGGGGATACCCAGGAATTCGCAGGTGGCCTTGAGTTCCACTACCAGCGAACTGCATGAGCCTGCCTTATCACCCTTTTTTCCTACGCACAGAAAGTCGTCCATGTAATGAATAATCCCCGATGACTGAGTGTTTCTCCTAACCAAAAACTCTACAAATGTGGAAAATTTCTCAAAGTATGCAGGTGCGCATCGGACCCCCATGGGTAGGCATTTATCAACGTAGTATTTCCCGTTGATTTTCATGCCTAGTAGTTCGAAGTCCCGTGGGGAAACCGGCAATAACCGGAATGCAGATTTAATGTCTGCTTTTGCTAGCAACGTGTCCTGGCCCAGCTGTGCCACCAGCTCTACATCATCATCAAATTTGCTGTATTCAACATTGCATTTGTCATCTCCTATAAAATCATTGATGGAGTATCCTGGCGGATACGAGAGATGGTGGATCATGCGATACTCCCCTGGTGTCTGTTTAGGCACCAGCCCCAATGGATTTACCCGTAAATTGACAAGAGGGCGGCTTGTGAATGGTCGTGCTATTCTGCCTAATGCTACTTCTTTATCTATCTTTTGTTGGGCTATAGACAGATTTGACAAAACTAATTGTAAATTTGGAAATTCCACTGGTAATCTTGGCCCCGAGTAATAGAGTGCGAAGCCTTCACTAAAACCCTTTGCTAAGAACTGCGCTGTCCGCTGCTCTGGGTATGAGTCAAGAAGATAAATTAACCTTTGCTTGTTGATCGGAGTCGGTGACAAATTAAATAGACCGACGCTCCCCACCGACCCCGTGATTGTACTTTGCTCTTGCCTAGCAGTAATGGCAGTCGCGGACTGTATGCCCGTTTTACTTTTTGCTAGGGGTTTTTTTGTGGAGGGGCTTGTCCGGCCGGTTTGTTTTGTTTGCTACGTGGGTGCGGACAAGATGTTTTCCCATGTCCGACTGACCCACATGTGCTGCAGCAATGGTTGAACTTGCAAAAAGCTCGTGTGCATGCGCCATTGTAATTGAACTCAAAGCAGTGCCCAGGCTGTCTAGGTGGCTTGTATCCCCCAAAGGAATGCTGGTTACTCTTGATCTGGTGTTGGCGTGGCCCTTGAAATGCTGCCTTCGTTCCTCCCACTGAGCTACTGGACTTGAGTTGCCCACCCCCAACTACGTGCAACAACCAAAGCTCGCCATCAATTGCTTCCCAATTGGAGGCTTGGTGGCCGCCATTCGTGCCCGGAATTCCGTGTCGTAATCCTGCCAACCCAGGCCCACATATCTATGTGCTGCTGCCCGAATAACACTGCAGTATTTCAATAGCGGCCGTGCGCATTCTGGGTTTGCTTGCAGATAGATACTACAGAAAGTCAAAAATGCCTCAGTCCATATTCGATGGACCAAATCTTTTGCTTAGGCTCAGCCTGTCTCAATACAATGCTCTGACCGCTCTGCACCAGTGACAAATCAACTGAGTTGGGGTCTCTGTTTGTTGCCCCAAAAGATTGACTACTTAGGCCGCCACTTTGTTAAGTAGTAGGCTAAATTCCACATATTCCCCTTTCCAGATTTTTTCTCGTACGTTAAGGGGCACCCCTACACCTAACAACCCGCCTCGCGGGGACAAGGGGGAGGCAGTATAATTATAAACTTGTTCAACAAACCCATGACTGGCTCCTGATAATGACCCACTAAGACCCCCAGTGGCATCGGACATAATACTAGTATGGATGACCGGCCTAACGTTAGCGCTACTATCGAGTTGGCTTTGTTCTGTACGACTAGTAACAGTATTACCCGAGAGAGATGTCAATAATTCTGACAGGTGGGGAAAAAGTTGTGGTGGTCTAGCACCAATGTTCACCACATTAGGGGGCCGTACGCCTTCTCCTAAAGTAGCATAGGGATCTAGCCACCGTGGACCCGCCTGATTGCTTTGCAATAAAGGAAGCTGCTCACCCGGGTCATTCGCCGTGGCTACGGGAGCTCGTTGAGGCCCTGGAGGACTTGCATGACTAGAAGTCGGCGCCGGCAGGTTGGTGAAGGCGATGTCCCCCCTTTGCTGGTTCCTGCTGGCCGGGGCACTTGAAAGCGGACTTGCGGCGTCGCTGATTTCTGCTGCTTGGCCCCCGCACACCGCCGAATTTGGCGGACCGCCTGATAGAGACGTCGGCAACGGCCCGCTTGAAGTTGAAGCCCGGTCGTTTCCGCAGGCCGCCGGTCCTTCTGCTCCGGTGACCGTAACACGCTGGGAGTTGGCTTGCCGCCGGCTGCGGCTGGGCGGCTGGCCGGTTGGTGCGACCATGGTGGCTGGCTGGATGGTACCTGCCGTTAACAAGTCTGCTTCGCCTGCCGCTGGGCCTAGAATACGATGTGCTGGATCGCTCTCCCGGACATGCAATCCCGGAAGGCTAAATGGTGGACTGCTGTCGTTCTCCGACTCTGGTATGCCTTGGCCGCTCAGCCCGGCCGAAGCGGCTGACCGTCGTTCCCCCTCCTGGCGCTTCGTCTTCTTTGCTGGTGGCTGGCTTTTCTTTGGTCTTCCTCGCTTTCCCATCGCTAAGTGAGGTTATGCCCTACAGTTGGTAGACTCCAATAAGTCCGGTGGCCTGGAGCTCTTGGCTAACGTCAGATATTCGCCTGACAGTTCACTGGAGGAACGCTCCCACGTAAGCTTGACCGGCCGCTCGATCATGAACCATCAACGAACCAAATTCACTGCAATTCGGCACAGCACCAAAATCTTGTCCGTGCCGAGCAAAAATCAAGCCGAAAATGGCTGAGCGCGGTAAACATGCCTTTCTGTGTGGCCGCTGTGCGCGCCAATTCCCACGAATGTATCAATTTCTTTGGCCGAAGGCCAGAGACAACCCTGGCCGTCTTCCAGGCTATTTCACAGTGCCGCCGGGTTCGCGACCTTAGGCTGCGAAATGGATTGGCTTATCTGGCCGCGCGCTGCAGAAGAGACACCTGGATATCGTCTGCACAAGTGGGTCGTGACCTTTCACAAAATGGGTTTGCTCTTAAGAGCGCAAACCGTATTTCCGTATAAAGATAGCTTCAAATTTTGCAGCATAAAAGACCAGACAATTGTCCAAATCTTGCAATCCTTGTGGCATCTGAAAGGGCAAATGTGTCTTGCTATCCATTGATATTAGTCTCATTTCCATATTTGTTTTAGTTAGAAACATATCTTCGAAAGAAGGTCAATTCTTGTCCTACTGCATCCATAATTTTCCATTTATCTACAAATTATAGGTCCTGTCCTCGTGCAGAGATGGCTTTATATATTACACCATAAAATACCTGAAAATTCTATGAGTCTTGCAATCCTGGTTGCACCTGAAAGGGCGAATGTTGCTCTATCCATTAATTCAAGTTTTATATCCATAATCCATATATCCACATTTTCCAAAGAAGGTCGATTTTTTTTAGCTACTGCTACTGCTTACTACTGGTCCTGATGCCGTGCAAAGATGACTTTATATATTGCAGCCTAAAAGACCTGACATTGTCCAAATCTGGCAATCATGGTAGCATCTGAAAGGGCGAATGTCCTTCTCTCCATTAATTCAAGTTTTATATCCATGTTTGTTTTAGTAAGGAAAATATCTTCGAAAGAAGGTCCACATCTTGTCCTACCGCTTGTTTTGCGTGATTTGCCAAAAATCCACTCCTTATCCGTAGCGTTTCTGTTGTGAAACATTCTTCACGTTTTTTTTAATACAACAGGTGGGTGGAATTGCCTATTTGTTAGATGACGTAATAATGTCTTTATATTTCGGCCACGTTCCTGTGCGTGTCGTAGTTGGTCTGAGGGAACCGTCAACAGCACCCACCTAGTACGATTTATTTTTGTTGTATGTTCTTCAAAATGTGAGTTCTGGAGTTAAATCATTTAGACATGAGTATAGTTCTCGTCGAATTTCTTCTTTGGTATTGCTCTCTCATGAAAGTGTTTTTGACCATTTATCATGATTATTGACGATTGCCATACTAGGGCCTATTTATTGCTGTGTTTCAAAAGTTTTTTTCATGCGGTTTTTAAAAATAGCATGGGAGTCAATTTGAGCAACTTGTTTATTCTCGTTAACAAAAACAGATCGTTTTGGGGAAAAATGATATATATCACTTCGGCTTATAAAATGCCGCGGCGGCAAAGTGGTGTTGATCGCTGGAAAAAACCCGATGCCGTCTTATCAAAATCAAATCAATTTTGCGGTTTATTGCGCCACGGCTGCGTGTGGGGTTAGTTTTGATACGATCGTTGATTTTGATCCATACGTTCGGTTCTGTTCAATTTTCACGTCTTATTATAGGGTAAGAAAAATATTGGTCAACTGCGCAATACAGCGTGTTTCTCAATGTCTGCCACGAGTCAATGTCGATCCCAACAAACATTTTAAACAAACCCGCGACACGTTTTTGGCTGGTCTCGGGACCGCTCACTGTCACGATAGATTTAAAACAGGGCAATGTTTACAAGTGCCCGAAAACAACTATAATCTGCAACTCGTCCTTAACAAGTACGGGAAGACTGGGGTAGAATACCATGGGATTTGGTTGGGCGCCTCCACCGAGAGGATCTGGTCACCCGAGTGATGTGAGTGTGCGTTGGTTAGAACAAGACGATGACGTCAAAATGGTGTGGATGGACTTTATTGCCAAAACGCACACCGAGCTCATCGACGTCGGGTTAATAAATGTCAACGCATCGATACCAGCTTACGTCTATGCGTAGTTGGGAGCGCAGGTTCAAACAGAAACCAGTATGTTGGCCCAGTTTGTCACGATTGTGGAATCTCTCATCTACTTGGTTCCAGCACTCGAACAATCCATCAATCAGTTTCAGGATTCGCTACAATGCGCCCAAACTCCTTTGAATTTTGTCGTGAGGCCAGGTTTGTACCTGGTTCCATCGGTTATGGACCTACGTATCGGAACGTTTGAAGGATACAACAACAACCTTCAGATCGCAACGAAAGACATGTAGCCGGGATATTAGTCTGATGATAATAAGGATTTGGAATCAGGCGATAAAGACGACTTTGAACCAGAAAACCAAGACCCGATGGGTAAGGTGACTACCCAAGTGAAAAACAACGCAAACAGCGAGCGAAGTGCCGCAAACAACGCAAATACCAGCCAAGGTATCTACCCAATCGAAGACACCCACCAGGACGAAACATTGTCGCTGCAATTTCACTGGCTTTGATTTGGTTCGCAACATAATTTGGTTTGTGACAAAAAATAAACAATTTTCTTAGTTTGGACAGGGTGCTTCTTTTATCTAAATCCACTTTTTACCCGAACAAAAATAACCCAAAACCAACGCACCCAGGGCTAAGACCAACTGACGACTTTACTAGCAATGTTAAATAACCAACTAAACACGCATCCGATCACGCAGGATAAAGCTCCCAAGGCAGATACCCCGAGTATTTTTAACGCGTTAGCTTAACGACTGAGTTGTTTTTAATCTCTAGTTCTGGCTCTGTTGTTGAGTCGGTTTTGTGCCGGATTTGTGTAGATTTTTGAGTTGGGTTTTGTGTCGGTTTTTGGTTTTGTTTCTTGTTGTTTTTTTTTTAGCTCAGGCTCGGGTAAAAAGATACCCAAGTTTCTGGCGGCAGCTACTACACTGGACACGATCGTACTGATGGCCAAACCAACAACCGACAAGATACTCACGACTGTATGCCTTGCTCTCTAAAAATTGTTCGGCTTTCTTCGCGTAAAGATTTGTCCGAATGCAAAACGCTATGAATCAAGTCTTTAATTTTAGTAACTTGACTCCCTAACCCATGCATTAGGTTGACTCTTTACTCTTTTCTCCCTTTGAGTTGATGTCACAGGTAACGTAAACGAATTCTCCGTTCTACGGTTTCTTTAGACGTGCCCGGTTCGTTTTCGAGCCCGATATTTCGTCTGGAATTTCGGTTATTTTAACCTGATTTAATCTTAGCACACCTCAGACCTTTGCATCTCCACGTCAAAACCGCGAATTTTCTCATGGATTAGTCCTCGATTTCGGTTTGCACAGTTGGGTCTTGAGTGAGGGTTTCTACGATTTCACTGACTTGTTTCAATGCTTAAGGAAGTTCTTGTTGCTCGATGCTTTCGGGTTGAATGGTATCCAAGTTTGATTGCACTTGTTGAAGAATTTTTTTCTAATGAAATCTGAAACTGATTTGAACTTTCTTTAAAAGAACCGACGGCTATGTAATACAGACCTTTGTTTAGGTCATATTTTTTCGATAACTAGCTGAACGTATTGCAACATTGTTACTTATTTGTTCCTTTTTATTAACAGCAACACCAAAAAATTCTTGTAACAAGTTGTTACAACTGTCTTACAACAAAACACCAACTCCCCGGGGGCTCAGTTTTTAACACCAACTTCTGAACTTCACATCCCTCAGGTGTTTTTAATGGAGCACGGTATTTGTCCGTAACCACGTCGTTTTCGTCTAAAGCCTGATCTTTGCAATAAAACATCGCAATCCGCGCCGTGTTTTCGCGGTATTCATTGAGAACTGATTTATACTTTTGAAAGGTGTCCCCGTCTAAAACTTTTTGAAACTACTCGATGGCTTCGTTTAATTCTAAACCTTCTCGGTCAATTTCGCAAAAGAAATATCCAACGTCTTTGGAGATACGTTTTGGTTTACCGACAATTAAAGCGTTTTGACTCCTGCTCATAGCTTTGCTTTTAAATAACTCAACATTAATAACACTAACGATTTAAAATTCTCGTCTTCCATGATGAGAAACATGTACATCGCGAGTTTGCCCGCGGTTTCTCTTTCTCGCGTCATTTATATCATGATGCCACCCGATTCACCTACTCTACGACCGCTGCCATGACCCACGTTGTCGTCGATGCTCCGAAATTCGATCAAAAAGCGTATTTTTCTTTCAGATAGTCGGCGTATCGATACCCACCAAATTGAGGTCTTTTGCAACGTGTTGGCCCAATCGGTACCCGAATCTCCAAAAACTTGCACGCCTCGTTCCAGTGCTGATATTCATACATTCCTTGCGAATACAATTGAATGGCTTTTCTTTAGGCCGTAATGATTGTAGGATTGTAAAACCTCTGAGGGTCAAAGGTTGTTTCAAAGCGGAGGGCAAAAGCGACATGTGATCGGTCAACATTTCGATATCAAGCAAGCGGGATTGCGTATCGATTGCCAAAGCCATCGGCGATGGCTTTGTCTTTCCCGTTGTTGGATTGCTCTTTCGCGTCGCTCGCACCGAGTCTGAGCTTAGCGACATTTTCTCTTTCTAAACCGAATTAAGCCATGTGTTTGGTTTGTGTGGTGAAAGACTTCGGCATCCCTATGGGTTAAAATTAAGTTGCCCTGAAGTTTCACGGTAATATCTTTGATCAACTTTCGTGCCAATTTGTTCTTAATCTTTCGATTGTCGGCTGTGTTCCGTCTAAATCGAGATTCAAAGCGAGCTTAATCGTGCCAGGAACAATAATGTCGTGAGTTTCTTAACGTAGTTCATTTTTTAAAAATTTTTTTAATTTAATTTTTTTAAAATATGGTTTGCTTATGTTTGTTTTGTTTTTAAAAGTGTTTGCGTTTAAAAAATTGCGAGTATTGCAATGATGGCGGTGAGCTGTGGTCAATGGATTGGAGTTTACGGAATCTATTTTTTTGTTTAGTTTTGATTGGAACATTTTGCCGAAGCCAAAGAAAAATAGGTGGAGCATCGCACCCAACTCTTAGACTTTTTAAACGCGTTGTTGGTTTATCTCGTGTATCACAACTGGTAAACGGTTTTGGTGAAAACCTTTTTCCTTTCTTTGTTAACTGTAACTGAATGCTGAAGTCGAGTTTATTTGAGACTTGTTGTTCATGTCAGTTTTCAATCATCAAGAATCCAATGTACAGGTAAGGAATGTACATGTATAGTACGTGTACTTAATATAGAATGGATTAGTGGGAGTTGTGTTGAGCTGAATAGCCCTGAATACCTCACTCGAACCCACCAGCCTTGAGACTGTTGATCCTTGTAATTGGAATGTTGAGTGTTCGAGTGTTCTGTTGTTCTTTTATTGTAGTTTAAATGGATCTTTTAGAATGCCCAGTTTCGGAAGAATTTTTGTTTTGAACACCCTGTTGCCTTGTCAATTTGTTATTAATTTCTGGCTTGTGTCGCCCCAGCCATACCCTCAAATATTTCGCATTTCATTTGTGACAATCTAGTTTTTGTTGGGTTCTAAAGTGGCGCATACAATTAAAGCAAGAATATTTTTACCGTTGTGATTATCTATATCACTGGAAGTGAGTTTAGAAAAACATTTGACCCAACAATAGTGAGCGGTTTTACCGTTGCTAAAATAAAGTAAGTTGATCGGTTCTTTGTTTTTGCATTTTTTAGAATGATAGAGGGGAAACACACCGTCTTTTGTGTTGTAACCAAATGCGTTCATCGCTAACTTGTTTTGGGCTTCGATGCGCGAAAACCTATCCCTGTAAGTGGTGGTTCTATGTTCGTGTAATTTGTAGTCTGGATAGGTTTCGAGTTGACGATTGACTTTGTCTCTTTAGGTCTTAGGTCTTACAGCTGCTCTCCACGCCCGGCGTATGCATCGTTAATCTTTGTTTTTACGTTGATGCTAGCGTGTTTGACCGCTTACTTTTTGGGGAGTGGCATGTAACTACTTACTCTCAACGGTTCATAATGTTCCACGTTGATAAAAACCGCAACGACTTTATCAAATACCCACCAGACCCCCTTTCATTAAATTTCTGTACTTACCGAAAGAGATATTGTTTTGTTCTTCTTACGCGTTCTTGACGTCGTGTTCGTTAAACACCGCGATGCTTCTAGATTTAAACGTAAAAGTACCCTCTCCGATTTCTCGTTGATCTAGTTTTATAATTGTTAAATTAATTTTGATCGCCGTTTGTAGCTTGCAGGCTCCTATTTCTCGTAACTCAGACAAAGCTTTCGCTTCGTTGCATCATTTATGGTCGGGTGTAATTTTGGATTGCTGTCATTAAAACGCGACCTTGTTAATCCGTAGTAGTAAATTCTAAGCGATTGTTTTGTGCTATTCCTACAATTTGATGATACGATTTGTGTTTTAGGTTTCTCAATTGACGTCGGCTCGCTATGATCGCACGTTCGAGTTCTCTTTTGAGGTGTTGACGACCTTGAGGTGGGGATAGGGGTACGTTGTAACGACCGGTATTGTGGTCTGGCTTGTGGTCGGGCATCTTGGTTATCTGGTCTGTCCATTTATGCTTTCTGTTACCCTTTTATATAATTTCTAAAAAAATTCATTAATTTTAACCCATCCTCAAATTTCTCGCTATATCTTAGGTGTTTGGCCTACATTCCCAGCAATGATATTGAAATAACCCGTGTTCACAGGTGTTCCATTTTTTACTACATGCAATGCATCGTGAACAACTATTAGTATGTGTTTTATTGGTTTTAAATTTTATCTCCTGAGATTCCGACAATGGTTTTCTTTGAAGGAAGTATTACACTTTTTGGTTTCCATGTTTGATGAGTGCTGCGAGTCGATTTCAATATATGTCGAGATTTTTTTCATTAGAATTACTACCAGAAAGAAAGAGAAATCAGACTAAACTTTCCCTTTCGTTCGAGTACAAATCTACCAAAGAGTCAAAATATCAAATATTTCAGTTTAAACGCAAATCACGTGAAATCAACTTAAAGGAGCAGTTTCTCTGCATGTGTTTCAGCCAATTGACTCTGCACAAGTTTCAAGCCACCGGTATGGTGACGCGAGTTTGATCGTTATCAGTGATAGCCAGCAAACAACCTGATACAATAATTATTTCAAAGGGATGATGTCATGATGACGTCATTATCTGATTTATTATTGATTTTTCAATATTTATTTCAGCCCATTGACATTGACTTCAAACCACCATTTCGGTAACTTCCCGATGTTTGATCGTCATCAAAGTTACAGCTAAGACTTTGATAAGAGAATTATTCCTGATTGATGATGTCATGATGACGTCATCTTGTAAATTTTTGGATTTTTTTTTTAATATTTATTTTTCCCCATTAAAAACTTGAAACCCGAAACAGCTCTGTGGTTGTTGGTGGTCGTTGCTGTAACGACCACCACTTTTAGTTTTCGTTTGATTTTTTTTTTTTTTTGGTACTAATGAAGTCATAAAGGGCGCCTCGCAGGACTATGTAGTACGGGATATGAAGCTTGAGTTGAACGTTGAGACTTTTGTATATCATGTGTATCAGGACCCGTGTACCGTACCGAACAAAAAATGAAAACAATGCATTGTTCTGCTGCCAGATTTCGCTTTCCTAGAGATGATTGTGTTAGTTTTGATATGAGCGAAACTCACATGAACCTCGAATTACACAGACAGTAAAATCACGTGTGCGAGGATGTAAATTGGAGTGTGGATATCATCGCCATGACATCTTCTGGGGTTCGACTTTACGTTAGAGGGCATTGTTTTCTTCCTCTAGGATAGGCTCGAGTAAACCCTTGGGGCATAACAAACATGTCCTCTTTGACAGCGCTCCACGCAGCCAGTCTATTCCAGGCAATGATCAGCGGCCACGGCACACTCAATGGCGTGGTGGCAGCCCCCCCCCCTCCCAATTTTTTACTGGAGGGGGGGCAAGGAGCAGCATTCCCACTGGTGAACGGAGAAGGGAGTGCCCCCCCCCTTTCTTTGCCGCTATGAAAGATCAGTGGTCCAGTGTAATCATCAGGAAAAAAAATCCTCTCCAGGAAAGAACAGCCCCCAAAACAAACACTAGGGTGGAGTGTAAACAGTGTTTCCGTATCAATGTCTTTATTAAAAATTACAAGCATATTTGTTCTGGGGATAAGTGGCCTGGATACGACCATTCAGACATATCCATGGTTGATAATTTGAAGTGGTATGGTACATTCCAGCGTTCGTAATGTGAGAGAGTTACAGAAATTCGTTACTTTCGTCCACATCTATATCAGTTGTTCACTTTTTCTTTCATATTAACTACCAAACAAAACGCACGTTTGTAATGATATATACTCTAGTTTTAGAAAAAGATTCTTTTGATGCCTGTTTTGGCCCTTTTGCCCTCTTGTCCTAGAATAAAACAGCTACAAAATGGCATGCGTATCACATACAACTACAATACTTGTTATGGCAGCTCGTTTCCACGACCTATCTTTGCATAATACTCAAGTGTGATTACGTCATGTCAAAATTGCCCAAGCAGTCCCTAAACACGATGAATAGCCCACACATGATAAACAGCCATTTTGGTTCCAAAGTTTGAAAAAAATTGATTGATGACACCGTCTTTTCTTGAAAATCACTTTGCTGAATTTTGCCGAAGTAGACACCTGTATTCTTCAGAAGGCCCATCTTATAAGTGGCATCATAAAAACTACATATAACCGGGTGATTAACTGACAAATTTACATACATTGAGATTTAAGGGCTCAATAATGTAAATGTTTACTCTGGAACATGTTTTATGCAAATGTTAACTCTTTTTGACATTTGAAGTTGGTACTATTCTCTGTACACAGAGCTCTGGTTGCCATTTACAGGAAGACACTGTCGATTTAGGTGATTTCTGCTCAAATTTGAACCAAAAGTTTGTTCATCGAAAATATTTGTGAGAAAACTTTGCTGACTGGCAAAGCAGACAAACTTACGATGGCAGAATATCCAAAATTCTGGCAAATTTTAACTTCACATTTTTGCTCATATGCAAATTGTCTTTAGCATAAGAATCACCAAGGTGTCACATGATCGATAATCTGCTAAAATGAGATACAAGAACAATCATTAAAATACACTGAGTGGAACCTTCCATTCAACAGTATGTCTTTGCGTGGGGCATTTCGGAGATAAATAAAAAGAGCTGTAATATACATATGCATCTTGATGGCATTACTTCAAAATAACTACATGCACGCTGTATGAATTCATTTAAATTAATATTAATTTTTAAGGAGTTAATTTGATTTTTTCAGTGACCATATTATCGTTAACATGAATGAATAAATCACAATCTGCAAGCGAAGTATCTGATGACATTGATGTTTTCGATTCAAAACATTTCTTGAAAAAACGTTCAACATGTGACTGAAACCATCACGCAAAATAGGAAAAAAAGTACTTCATACATAACTCATTCCCCCAGGACAGGCGTGATCCCACCGGGAACACTGGCATTTATAACTTCTATCTCATTCTCTTGGTCGGGCTTGGTGCCATGCACAAAAAAATGCTCAGAAAGGTAACACAAAGCAAGGGGTGAACCAGTTGGTTGCATGGTTAAGCCTTGCTGTGCTAACATGTGCCATCATGAAAAGAAGGCAAAATAAACAAATTATATAGAAATAAATATATCTTGTGTGTCATTATAAATAATTGAAACTGGTTTCATTCAGGCATTGATCACGTACAGGTATAAAATTGCACATTCAGATTACTTTTTAACTTCTGTTTTCTCATGTATCCTCATGGTCTTCATCAATTCTTTAAATGAAAACATAAAAATAAATCACACACTACGCTTAGTAAAAATCCTATGAAAGGTACAGTATTGATATTGAAGCGTCTGAATTCTGTCGTAGGAACTTGATTATCGATGTCATTTATTTATGTACTCCTCAGCTTCCCATAGCATGCCTTGGGTGTCCCTGTACTTGGCAATCGCACTGGCCTTAGCAACACCCAACCACTTGTATGCTTGGTGCTCACTGGATAAAACAACTGGAGTGCAACAATCTTTCATCTGTGCAAGCCAATAAACAACCTCCTTTGTCTTGGCTTTCTTGGTCTGGTACTGGATTGTCCATGAGATTTCCTTATAAATGTTAAGATGCTCTGGTAGGAGTCCTGCCTCCTCAGTTGTTTCTCGGAGGGCAGCATCATAGATAGTTTCACCAGGATCAACATGACCTGTGAGTGGTGACAGACAATTAGAGATGTCAATAGGAATAAGTGTTGGTTCTGGTGCAAACGCAAAAATGCGTTTTCGAACAGAATTGGGTGCACTGTACTCAGTGCAGCCGCAATCAATTTGTATAGGAACCTGTACATCCACACTTTGTGTCCCCGCCAAACGAGTTGTTGCTACATGTAAAACACCAGCGTTGTCTCTTGTTTCTGCGTGTTGCATATGCATGTACATGCAGAAGTGCTAAATGAGATACATGTACACTTTAATTTCTGTTGTATCACATGTTACGGAATTTTACTTTGAAAAAGTAATGGTACTGATACAAAAAATATCCCGAAAGTGTTGTTTTTTTTGCAATGAAATGGAGACATCATTAAAAATATTATGGAAATGGCTTAAGCAATACCATTTATGCAAAGTCCCTAAATTAATTATCAAACATTGCGCAGCACCTGTAGATAATTAAACCAGTTTCATTTGATGAATTTGATGAATATTTACTCGTTTGATGAGTACTTACTTGATTTTTAGAAGGTAGTAGAGGGAAATTCCAGAAATTTGGGGTCAAAAGTGTGACTTTTTGTGTCCCTGTTACATTTAACCTTTGTTATTTAACATGGAAATTTCAACGGATTTGATTTCAAACCATTACTATTTGTTTGGTAGGTAATTTGCATTAATTCATCACTCTTGGAAATTAGAGAATGTGTTCTGAACTTACAAACTCTTATGTCAGATGTGGCAGGGACATGAAAATAATGGCCCTTTATTTCTGGAATTACCCATGAGCATTTAACATTGTTGTTTTTTAGTAGTTTATTCACTGATCCATCTGAGCCAGTCATTGTGGTCTCAGTGAGAGTATAGCCTGTAACCTAAATACAACAATACCAGTGGTTGGGTGGTTAATAAAGCATGACGAGGATCAGTCCAGTAGGCCACAACCACGCTAGAAAAAAGGTGACTTATTACATCACGCAATGCACAAGTTACAAAATGCAAATGTGAAGTTTGAAATAGTGGTTAAACGATGTATTACGAACTGTGTATTGGAGCAGAAAACACAAAATGTACATGTACTACAGCTTTGCATCTGTCAGTGTGAAAGAGGGTGTTTATTCATATGACGTACACTATGCCATGTTCAATCTGTACATTACATTAAAGGGTAACAAAAATTGAAAACATTTAGTTTACGAGAAGTATTTCAAAATAACTATAAAGAAATGCGTCAACATTTCAAAAACATCATAAATTTAATGTTTACCCTATTGCTTGTGACCCCCAAATGAGTATAAAGATCCTACGTTTCCCCGCCCACAAAAAAACCCCTTTTGGCTGTTCGCGCTCCCATGCTGATTGAATGGCATCATCGCCAGAATGCAAACAGGTACACGTACATTGTACACGTACATTGCGCACATACAGCACATGCGGTATTGCCGTCTCAGTTCAAGGTAGAAATTAATAGTGTAGGTTCTACCATGTATTTCTTGACCTGAGACAGTGTTAGCCCGCATGCCAAGCTACATCAAACGCAACTTGCAAGCGTGCAATACTGCATGCACTGTGTGCAATGTACATGTACACTATACATGTCAGCGTTCTGGCGATGATGTCATCCGATCAGCCTTTGAGCATGAACGGCCAAACGGGGAATTTTTGAAGGCGGGAAAACGCAGGATCTTTTTATTCATTTTGGATTCACAATATTAATGGGGTAAAAATTAAATTGACGATATTTTTGAAATGGTTATGTATATATTGTTATTTTGAAATAACAATGTGAACTAAATGTTTTCACTTTCTATTCCCTTTAAGTGTCAGACTATAAAAAAGTGATCACTAGACCAAATCAATGCTACTTCAGAAGTGAAGACATGTTTACACTCTTACACTAGCACTACCTTTCTGAATATGTTAGATTTGTGACGCAGTTTACAACCATTTCTATTACTTAGTCTTTGATTTTCTGTTATTAATTTGTTTATTAATGGATCAATTAATGTGTTCTCTCCTTCGTATGAAATTTGAAACGTTTTGAATGATGCCCCCACATAAATTTCCACTCCCACATTCAAAATCAAGACAACTTTGGAGTCGGTGAAGATGGTTAATTAGAACTTGTAATTGTCATTGTAAACCACCATTCATAGTTGCCTTCTTGCTAAAGTGAACACTGCGTACATTTATGTAACGCATCATGTACTACATGTATTTTCAGATGTTAAGTTTTGAACCCCAAAACAGGACGGGTGATGAAGTCAATGACAACACCAGACCCTTAACTTGCAGATCCCACATGGCGTCGTTTGCATGAATGTCAGAGTACTTTCGAAGTGTAGATCATACAGTACAACTTTATAGTCACTGGCACAAGACGGCGTAAAACCTTGGTACATATATAATGAATATTCAGCATATTTCAGGACCCACCTTCCTATGTATAGTAACACGGGGAGTATGTAAATTTGTTGAATAATATGACCAAATACGTTTGACACGGGAAAAATTTGAAAACGTGTGGAATTTCGAAATTTGCATGGCATTTAGATTAGTTAGCATGATCTCTCTGCGGGGTTAAAATCGCAGTGAAGCATTGGAGAGGCAGCAAACAGATCTTGACATAGAGAGACTCGTGATCAGTCAGTGTGCGATAGCACATTTTGATTTCGTCGATTGAGCGATAGCTCTATGAGAATTTGAGAAACAGAATGAGAATTTGAGAAACAGAGATAGTTTGTGGCAATAACCCAAATTGAATATTTTCTTCATTGGAAAGTGTTAGCTTAACTTAAGTGCTTAAGAAGTGAAATCCACTTCTTGAAAAGCTAAATCCAGGGTTGAGAAGTTAATCTAAGAAAACCGTAGTTATCAAAAGTGAAATTCATTTTTGCACCAAAATGTTCAGGATAGTGCAACAGATGTCATCTATAGTGGTCCTGCAATCTTTTTTCTTAAATTTTTTACACAGAAAATGTGAAAAGTGCAATCAATTACTGTTATGTTAGATATTATCAAAGAATTTTGGTTTGTTAGAGTGACAATGCATATTTATGATCATGCAAATAAGGCGGGGTTTGCAGACCGATGTAACCAGAGAATACAATCTTTAAGGCCCTGTATCTCCTGAAGTACATGTCGGATTGGGTTCAAATCTTGATGATGCCGTAGTTGTTTAAATGTGCAAAAGAACGCAAAAAAGCCCTCTGTTCTGTTGGCAAACAGACAGATAAGCTCTCGTTTTTCTTCCCTTTTCTCCTTTGCTCAAAAGCCCATTTGTTTGTACACGTTTTTCTACCGGTGACTTTAGTGCTTTTGCAACTTTGGATCATCATTTAACTTATACCAATGACTAACCTTTATGCATAGATGGTCCTAGAAACCTGACGTCATGATGACGTCATCAAGTGATTTATTATCAATTTTACATATTTTCAGATAAATCTGAATTATTAACGTCATGATGACGTCATCACGTGATTTATTATTAAATTTTGAAAACTTAAATATTCCTTTAAATTTATAAAATTCCATATAAAATCGGCCCTGGCCTCCCGCAACATTCTGTTTGCGGCAAGTGCCAGGATGAAATGTGGTTTTCAATTCATCTCGTGTGTGTCAAATCACGTGACCCTTTCTTCCGGTCGAAACCGGAAGTGGTTTCATTGTTTAAAAGTGGTAATAGGTATCGAGTTGCTTTCAACGGGGTTCGTCTGCTGGGGTATAGGCTTTTTCAAATTATTTACTGATGACGTCACCTAATTGTCGACCGCCCTCTAGTGACAGGTTAAAAATTCCAGAATGGAATGGATGTCTTTGGCGAAGTTTGTCCGAATCGCCTGAAAATTGATGTAGATGACCATTCATGTTTACCCAGTCAACACGTGTGTGAAGTTTGGGGCTGATGACGTCATCAGATCGGAAGTTACAATAAAAACTTCTTTTATTCTTCAAAATTCAGAAAAAAAAACGACCGTAAGCGATATAAGTGTGAATTGTGCACGAGATGACAGCTAAAACATTGGAGTCAGCTGCATGAAGTGCATAACTGGTGTACTTTTTTACCCACGTGAAGCGCCGCCGACAAAAAACCCCAAAGAATAAATTGCCAACTCAAAAATCAATTAGCATGCTGTGCATATGCTACTGTGTGTGTATGGACGCCCAATATCTGCCTGCAAGATAGACGGCGCACTGTGCGTAAAGCATTATACTCGGGACTTGGCAAAATGCCTACCACGTGCTGCCGAGAGCAGATCGCATTGTATGGAACGCCAAAAGAACAAATGGTTAAGATATCTAATCTGTGCCTTTTCCGCAATAAGTATAATGTTTTGTATTGTATATTGTATTGTACATGTCTTATTGGATTGAAACCTTGCAGGCAGTTAGGAAGGGAAGGTTTAAAAACGGAAATTGACCTTAGTTGATGACAATATCATCAGCAGACGAGTCACGTGACATTAAATGGTGCCTCATTTAAAGTGCTATATCTATGCCTTATATATATGCCTTAGTTGTTTAAACGTACAAAAAATGCGAAAAAGCCCTCTGTTCTGTTGGCAAACAGACAAACAACCTCTCGTTTTTTCTTCCTTCTTCCTCCACTTCTGCTCAAAAGCCCATTTGTTTTGATCCCCTTTTTTCTGTACACGACTTGTCGTGTACTCGTCGATCGTCATCAAAGTAACACCAAACAAAGACCTGGAATCGAAGATGACACCAAAATAATTATGTCCTAATCAAGCCATTAACTGATTTATAATTAAATTTTAAAAATGTAACATTAGGCTACAGTTTTTAAAATCCATATAAAATGAACCATGGGCTCCCACAAAATTCTGTATGTGGGAAGTGCAAGAATAAAATTTGGTCTTCAATTCATCTCGTGTGGGTCAAATCACATGGCCCTTCCTTACAGTCGAAACCGGAAGAGGGCTCCTTGTTTGAAAGTGGTAATAGGTATCAAGTTGTTTTCAACGGTGTTTAGTTCCGT